GCTCAATAATTTCACCAATGGAGACATTAAAATGCTATAAATGGAAGACTGGGTATATGCCCAGGTACTCGAGATACAGTGCGGTTCGAGTCTCTTATCATAGAAATTATTATACATCGATACTGATAGCTTACTATATTAGAATGTTGAATGAAACTTCTACAACTTAAAAACAGTGGTTTAGTTATTTATTTAGGTTTGTAATGTCAGTTGAAAACATGGTTGGTCATTGCAGATTTGTTTTGCAGGAGCTGTTTGCTTAAAGCCGTCACAATCAATTTGGGCGTGGCGTAAGTGCAGCATGTATACTTTGTAGGGTTAAACGGTGGGACAGACACTACGCAGAAGCTCAGTAATCGCTGCAAGCAAATTGTCTGAATTAATACATCCAATAATCGGATTACGAAATACAAATAGGAATCAGGCTTATCCAAGAATCCTACGACTTCTGAAAGTCAATCATTGCATAGGAGGGATTGAAATAACTGGTAGCCATCGCTTTTATTACTTTTTGGGGGTGTCTATCCTAGTATTGATAGATCATAGTCAAGAGAAAAAGTGCAAAAATTCACAACAATCAATTATATGAAAAACCTAGGAATATATTTTGTTTGAAATAAATCTATATACGTAAACCTATGTGGTAGAGGTCAAAACAGACTTCCGAAGATGTCGGAAAGGTTTTAGAACGCTGTCAGCCGATTACCCTGCTTCCTTGTTTTAGTTGGCAGATGACGGATCCATTGGCTAGAACGTTTCTGATGAAAATGTTAACTTTTATATTTACTTTGATAATCAGGGGACTTATAATCTTTTATACTAGCAATACAGGCTCACATCGTGCGCTAGTATATATTTTTCACCCTCTATCAAGCGAAGTGCGAAGACATTACATTATCAGTGCTCGCGCAGATAAGCAGCCTTGTAAGTAATATCCAAAAATTAAAATACATATAGTACAATGACGGATACTCAAAGAAGGCTTTGAGGGTAGTTTTGGGAAAGTTTGAAGAAGAAATAGATTTCAATGCACTCTTAACATTAACATTTGAAGGTTATCGTGAGATTTTAATGCAAAAACTGCATATTTTCTAGTCGCTGAATGAAACCACATATGTGGAAATTACTCTTTACTGGCAGAGACTAAAGATAGAGCTAAGCAAAGTTGAAGAGGAGACGAAAAAAGGTTCAGTGATACAGGAGAAATCAAACTTCCAAGCATCCAAGACAGCAAAACTAATTCTAATGCAATTCATCCGCCATTAAACTGCATGTTGTCTTTACAACCGAACCATAAGTGTTTTTCTTAAGTCACCACGCAGGCCTAGTGCCTAAATATCCGTATCGTGCAGGTACTTGGAGATAGGGAGATAAAGGAGAAAGGAGGGACGTCTCACGGACTCTAGCGAGGGAACAAGTGTGCATGTAACTTGCATACATTCTGGCACCGCCTTAGAGATCTTCCGGGTGATACCTCATCGCTCGAGAGTTCGAGACCGTCTATGATACACGGACGATCACAACATCCATAGACAAGAGAACAACTATTTTTGGACGTAATTCACACCCGCGATTACCACCACCACGCCACCTCACAGAACATTTCAAGTTTAAGTCATTGCTAGGAACATGTGTGTCCAACTGATACAAAAGTTCTAATACATCGCAAGTTGTATGAAGGTGTAAAAAAGCTTGATTAACTTAGCACTTCCGACGGGGTACCACGTAATAGCCCGCAACACCTATTCCAACCTATTTCAGTCGCTGTCCTGCCTTCAGCCCATGGCCATTACAAGTCAATAATCATTGAGAGTATGTAGAGTCAGAGCTAACATTTTCAAACATATCTTTCTTAGTTATGAAGAAAAATGTATTTTTTTATTTTTTTATTATCATTATTTTATTTGAGTACGCGTTACAAACAAATGCTTGATGTAAGATTATGTGATTACTGATACATGCATATTAAATAATGATATGATAGAGTAACATTTCATAAGATGATGCTTAGTCTAGTGATATTCAGAATAATGAATATATTCTTAACCTTATTTTTACTTTATTCAAAATAGGTTTCCATTATTTTCTAAACATAAATATTACCTTCTAACAGTAGAATTCAAAACATCACGTAATATTTCTGGGGTAGTCATACTATATAAATGCTTTCATCACACATTCTCGTAACTGAGCTCAGTTTTAAAAGTATGCTGAATGAACTTGTTGCTTAATACAACCCAAAAAATGTCCAAAGGAGTAAGCTCCGGGGAACGTGCTGGACTGGACACTTCACTGGAGGTTCCAATCTACCTTTTGGGAAAACACTGACGATGATACTCTCGAATTTGCCCATATTTATGTGCAGGAGCACCGTCTTGTTGAAACCAACAGCTATCAACATGTGCCAAAGGTCAATTATTCAGGTAGTCTTGTAATCATCTTGCAACAATTGAAGGTAGCGCTCTGAAGGGGATGAGTTGTGGTGAACGAATGGACCTAATATTTTGATCCCTAGAATTCCGCACCACATGTTAAACCCAAAATGTTCTTGAAGTCTGGATACTTTTTTAGCCCGCAGATTTTCTCGTCGGACCATATAGTTTTTGAAGGGAAATAAAAATCTTCTCCACACGTTCGAGTGTACCACTCATCTCCTGCCCGGGTATTACGCATCTTAAAAAGTGACATTTCGTCTATTTTTTTTTACTTTTCGTAGGTTTGTTTGTGACATAACGTAGGTTTTTCTACACTTGTTGGGAAATCGTTTTGTAGCTGTACGTGTTGCTTAAACGTCAGTGAAAAGCGATCATAGCTAGCAAACGTGGACCTAGTCTGCAAGATGCCATTTCTTCGTCTTTTTTTGGCGTGTTGTAGGTTTTTAACAGAATAGCCATGCTGGTCTAAGTCAATGGCAAATCCTGAATTTTTAGGTATGATATCTATTTTTACGCAAAATAAATTGGACTGCGAATTCTATTATACTACATTTTTCTCAACTTGTTCAGTTGCAGCAACTGTTTGTAGAACACTATACTGAGTTTCCTGTAAAGGTTCTTTTCTTCGAGACTTAACAGGTTATTGACTGAACCATATTCATCTAAATTTCGAGCCAACTCTAAGGAAATGGAGTTACTTGGTAAATTTATCAAGATACATTACACGTCAGCATGTCTAACTTGTCTTCATTGCTAAAATGACCGCCTGGCACCTCGCACCTTTGACGATAATAAAGCAATATTAACAATACACAATAATAACAATACTCGGTGCGTCTACATTTATTTGCTACGCCTACTAAAACATAAAAAATGCATTTTCCTTATAACCAGGAAGATAAATGTTGCATGTAGCATCATTGAGTTTGTATAAAAAATGCTATTAGATATAGGGTGTACTTATTTCGGGCCGCATAAAAAATAAAGTTGGTTTCTCAAAAACGCACAATTTAAACACAGCGTAGTACCTAGAAGATGCCAGTGGAAAAGTTCCATTAGTTTGCTGATATTTTTTAGAATAAAGTAGCAGAAAAAGTAAAAAACGATTTGGCCAAATTTCAGTTTTTCCCAAATATCTCAGTGCGTCATGAAATTTTCACAAGTTTGTAGACGCCCCAAAAAAATGCAGCTTTTTCCTAATATAACCTAAGCCGCATCTCCCACAAGTATGGAGTTCCTCATCCATAGGATCCTTATCTTCGTCACTCTGTATAATATGTATTAAAAAAATGTGACATGAACTGGTAGATAATTTTTTGTTTCTGGTTAGTCAAATAGCTGTTTTACTGTGGGAAACATATTAGTGGAACGAAAATCTTGTAACTTGAATAGGACATATTTGCTTTCCGTCTCTGCAACCATAACCAACCGTATACCACGTTGTTTCATAATTATTAGCAAATGCCAGTCCTCTGAATGACGGTGGGACGCCCATGTGGTGGACGTCCTTACTTGGCTTCTTAGAAGCTGACGCCGTTGCGTAGAGATGCCGAGTATTACGAGTATTACTTCTACCTACTGCCGTTCGTAGAGGTCACAAGTACCGCGCTTAACTACACATCGGTGGGGGTGTCACCTGTGCCTTTCGTACATTGCAATTGCTTGTTAAGAAAAGATAAGAGATCAGAAAAGAGCACGTCAAAATATTCATCAGCTTTTCAAGGCTTACCAGTTGAAACCACCAACTGATTTTACTATATCATACTGAAAGCTTTCCCTCAATAATGGGTTGACTGTACACTGATTATAATCACTTAGTTGACCATGTAATTATTCAATGGTGGCCCGTGTACTAAACAGCTTTTCCAGGTAAATGGCTCCCACTATGGCTCACACTCCGGAAAATAATTGGAAGATATTTTGTTGTTGGCGTGCGCTGGGGATGAAAATGCATGGTGTGGGCAGCGGTGTAGTGGTAATGGAAAATTCATCCTGTTTATCAGGATGTATTATCAAACAATATTGATAATACATATTTAATTTCAATTAAGGATTAAGGAAATATCAGTGGCAAACTGATGGCTGTGTTTGAGGTGGAGGACAATTCTTGAAGATGGTTGAGCTTTGCCAGGACTCAGCCAGCGTATAATAAAAGAGGAAAGATACCCATGTGACAGATGTCGCAGATATACATATATGTAAAATAGGTGTAATGTTGTTAAGGCGAATATAGCATGATCGGTATTTACTCTGGTCCGTAACATCAGTATATGTATAATTACTGGCGACCTCGCTACCAGGCGGAAAATATCACGTTATATGATAATAGTGATGAATCTAGTAAATACTGAACGTGTGACAATCGCCTTTCAGATTTTATGAGTTAAAATGTGACACTTCTAGAATATAAACACATTCATTAATCGGAAATTTCATCAATATGATCGTACAGCTACATGTTTCAAACCTCTTTGATTCCCAAGAGATTTCAGTGATGACTGAATGCCTTTCTTATGCTTGCCCAGAAAAGACATTGAATGTACCACCCCTCCTCTGCACTCACACAGGAAGTAGGTTATAACTTGCTTCCGGTAACTCAGTTAGAGGCATAATGCTCCAAAGCAGAGCGTGTTGCTAAAGTTGGCATGGTACGAGGAGAGAAACCAGAATGGAACAATTTAAAGGTAAATACCTGTACAATAAACGTTTCTATCACATCTTCAAAAATAATCTCAACTATTTACATTAAAAGCAAATTTTGACAAACAAGACACAAAGTAAAATGAACTTATATTTATTAGCAAAAACTTGGAGAAACTAGTGTCGGCTTCTTTTTTCTATGTATTTCACACTGCCAAGACTGGGTCGCAAAGCATGGATCTAGAGTTAGGTAGAGATGCGAGTCTAGGCGGAGCCAAAACTAGAAATGGCATCAGGGTAAAAGTTGCCAAGGACAGCATTAGCTTAAGCCGTATACCATAGACTATACTATAACTATCTAAAACTGTAATGACTCATCGATGTTCACTTAACTACCAGTAGTCGGCTGTTCATAGGCGGGGTATGAATGTTCAACATGGGTGAACTAGATTTTTCACATGCTTGATAAAGAGTGGTTTGAAACATATTGTAAGTCAAAAATTTGGCAATTACCTTTATTCATCGTCGCTTCCACTTACATCTGACAGTAATAAACTGTCGCTATCGCTTTCCTCGTTAAAATTGACTATAACTGGCTCTATGATGGTGTCGATGTGGTGGTCAAGCTGCCACATTTTTGTTTCTTCCTTCACAACATGACGGATAGCATTCTGCCAAGCTTCGGGCATTACTAGCTGTACGGAAGTCTCAAGTAAAACCTTAACGTCTGGTAATTTGAAGGTTGTGTTATGGCGCGCAATATAACCCTTCACTTGAGCCCAGATGACCTCTATTGGGTTCAGTTCACAGTGGTAGGGCGGTAACCGCAGCATAGTGACACCACATTGACGGGCCATCTCATCAGTCACGTAACTAATGTTCGCAGGTTTGTGCTGTTTAATTTTTTCATACAATTCCGCTTTCACACATGAATCGTCAAACGGGATTCCTTTTTCGCGCAACCATTGCTGCATGTCACTTTTTCGAGATCCCATAGTCGGTACACGTTCGGCTCGACGACTATGGTAGGAAGCTTTATCCATGACGATCACAGAGTTGGGCTCAACTCGCTGAAGCACCCCTTGAAACCAGCTCTCGAAGCAGCTGGCATTAATTTCGTCATGGTAATCACCTCCTTTCTTAGAGACGAAAATCAAGTCACACACTTCTAAAAAGCAACTATCGCTACCAATATGAGTTACGATCAATCTTTGACCTTTCCCTGACGGTCCACGAAGACCTCTTGAGAAACCTTCAATGCTTGCTTGTCAGTTACTCACTACGTTTTTGTCTATCCAGGTTTTTTTAACTGTGTGACCTGCATTTACCCATGTCTCGTCCAAATAATAGATTTTTCTGCTTTGTCGCCTATATTCAATCATTTCGCGTAGGTATTTTCGACGCCAGGCGACTATTTCAGGTCTCTCTATCAATACTGACTTCCGATTACGCGTTTCGTAACGAAAATTAATTTCGTGCAGGGATTTCCTCATTACCTCGACGCTCATTTGGGGTATAATTTCATTTTCCTTGATCGCTGCATGTACAGCCTTGAGGGTTGGTATCTCATTCCTAAAGAAGAATGAATGTACGGTTCGCTTTAACGCCATTTTGCTATCGTCATCCAATTTAACGGCCTTTCGTCCCTTCAAATTAAATCAAAATCAAAAATCAAATTAAGTATAACCAAAACAGTAATCACAGAAACCAGAACAATAACAATCACACAACAATTATTCTTATAAAAACACACAATATGCGATCGCTAAACGAAGCACGTTCCAATGCGTTGCCGACGCCTATGAGTCTGCCGGTCAAGGCGTGTCTTTGATTTCATTGGTTCTACCGGCGGAGAACAATCAGCCATTATTTCCATCTCTGTCTGTGCTGTTGACCACCGCAAAGCCACAGAAACGACACATGTCGTACGCTATACGGCTGTACTGGAAGGAAGCCGGGATCGAGCTCTGATCACGTGTTGATCACGCGTATGAGTCATTACAGTTTAAAATAGTTGTAGTATAGTGCTGGTCATTAGGCCGCAGATTATGGCCTTACTTAAGTTAGCACAGACATAATCAAAGTTAGCACATGGTACTCTTCCTATTTCACGTAGCTAGCTGGAGAAAATGTATGCGAGTTTTGAATTTGGAGACTAAAAAGAGAGTGCTAAAAAGAAACAGGGAATCATTCAAGGGTAGATGTTGTTGTAGATGTAGTTGTTGTAGCTATGAAGTTTTCCTTCGTATGGCTATTAATAAGGATTTCAAGAACGGTAGAACCGTAACAATTATTGCCATGGAATACTTCTGATATGAGTAAGCTCGTAACTGTAGAATGTTTTTTACAAGTCTAGCTCCATAACAGTAATATGCGTATAAAATGGCGAAAGCAAAATAACGATAACAAAGGAGACAAATATAATATTGGAAGTGCCTAGCTCGATGGGAGGCAGTAAACCCTGTAAATGAGGGCGGGTTTTACGCCGACAGAAAAGTGTCTGTGTACTGAAAAAGGCGTGCGAACGTTGATGATATCCGACTGATTGTTTTTGTAGACGTTCTAACCTTATTCGTTATGCGCATAGTAGTTGAGTTGTTTTCGCTTTGTTGGAATATAATGGGGTGCTCAAGAATACACCGAAACACCCAAGTCCACAGACTGTAGATGGAATTGTTTATAAAGTAGATGAGATGAGAGATGCTTACGCCCATTTTTATAATCGACTCTGAAGGGTTGATTAACTTTTGGAGCTCTACGTGGGAAACGACATGGTTTAGTTTAGTATTAACCTATGGTATCATCACAAGCTACTAATTATAAATATTATAGTTAGGTAACATATTTAAATGCGTCGGCGGTCCACATTTACTGTGCAAATAGCTTCCACAAATTCTTTGAACCATAAACCAGTCAGACTGTATTTCAAGTTCTAATTTTCTGCCTGACAAGCAACGACTGTCTCACGCTACAAAAACTCTCCGAATAAACTCTGTTGAGGCCTTCGAAAAGCACACGCTCAATTCCAGTTCTTAATTAAAAGAAATATTCTCGTTTGAGCTTGACACAAAAAAAGACAATGATACAATATGAACAAAAATTAAAAATAAGAAATAAACGTTCGGTATGTTCATTATGGAAAATAAAAAAGCAGAAACATTGCAACTCATAGTCGTAACCGTTACACTTTTCTAGAGGGCCAGTTGACGCTATATCCACGCAGGTACAAGACGAATCAATCAAGCTCAACTATTGTACAGATCTTTGGCGATTCATCGTCTTCATAGTATTCTTCATGATATGGATATCAGATGAATGGCCTTGATGAGAGAAACACAATAAGTGAAGTGACGTCATTTTGAAACCAATATGGCGACCGACACAAGATGGCGTTTATAAAGTAGTTACTCGTATGATATATATATATATATATAAGATTTAAGGGCTTGATGAGAAAAAGACAATGAGCAAAGTCACGTCACTTTAAGTCCAATACGGCGGTCGCCGCAAAATGGTGATTTACATTTTTCATAGTCACCTTTATGATATGAGAATCAAACACAGTAAGTGAAGTGACGTTTTTCTAAATCCAATATTGCGACGCCCCAAGATGAAGTTTATAATTATTATATGTAGTTAGTTCTGTGATATAGGTATCAAATCTAAGGGCTCGATGAGAGAAACACAATGAAAAAAGTGACATCACCTAAATGCAATATGGTGGTCGCTGCAAAAGTGCGATTTACATAATTGTATAGTCATCATGACATAGGTATCAAATGAAGGAGCTTGGTGAGGGAAGCATAATAAGCAAAGCGGCGGCGTTTTAATTCATTGTGGCAGCCGCCATTAAATGGCGACTTACAACTTCCATGGTCACTGCTATGATATGGATATCAAATGTAATGGCATGATGAGAGAAGCACAACAGACAAATAACGTCAACCATGTGTGGGCGGAATATTACTCATAAATAAATACATTTTGGAAAAATATATTTATGGCATGTTATACATGACATTTGAGGGCAGATTTCTAAGATATTGACAATTTTACAGCGTGTCCCAATTTTGACCTACATATCAAAATTGTGATTTTTTTAAATGGAACGCCTCGAATTTTATTGCATATTTGGATAAACCAATTCAGAAGAAGAGGATTGTTACAACATACTATGGGGTTTTGGAAATTAGCTACTGAGATGTAAGGTGTTTTGTCCAGAAAAACCGTCCACTTCGGCAACCCCTCAATCCGCCACTTTGAAATTTGGAGTGCTGAATTTTGTATAAAAAAAAACTTACACACCTCAGCTTTTATCATATTTGTTGCTTTTTAGGATTTTCATTTTTGCTGATACAGGGTGGTCGAAAACGCGAATTGTGCTTTTTCTCAAAAATATCAAATGAATCACCCTGAATAATTGTGCAAGTTCAGATTCAATTTTTTATCAGCTTTTTTTTTGTGGTATTAGGTTTGATTCAGATAAAATCACTAGATTTTGAGTTATTACGCTTTTAATAAAACAAAATACCAAAATCATGGAAAAAGTCACATCATCCATGGTAACAAAGGACAAACATTCGGCTAGTTTCATATTGCCACTAAGGGTACAGATTTGACGTAAAAACTAATAACAATCCGAACAGTATAAATCAGCGTCAAGCGTAGTAGAGAAAAACAACTATAACAACAACATAAACAACTATCACTACTCAAGACCTAATAGAAAAACTGCTCGAAAATATCTCCACAGCCGTAGTCTTTGGATAAATGACCGCTGCACATCCCACAACATGTGTTTCCTTATGTTCAGAAAAGTAACCTTAATCCTATCCTTCATATTTTTCGGGGTAGATGGTGGATATCTGTAAACCTCTTGCTTAACGTAGCCCCATAGAAAGTAGTCCATCGGTGTCATATCTGGTGCTCTAGGAGGCCAAGATATAGGCCTAGCACGACCGATCCAACGA